AATGCTTTTGCATAAGTAGTAAAAGTGAGGTGTAGCTAGCACCCCTAGGACTGTAGACATGGAAAGAAGGTCCTGGAATTATTGTAACTAAGCAGGTGAGAAAAGGGCTATCCTGAGCTGCATCTAAGAAGAGGGTTCCCAGGCTGGATCACCCTGGTATGAGAGAAGAGGATGGGGGCAAAATGGAGCTTTCTGTAATTGAATCCAGCTGCTACCATCATTAACAGAATGGAATGAAGGGGATCTTGATTTCTGCCCTTCAAGCCTCTCCCTATCATCACCTGTGGGAAGAGCTTAGAATCAGCATCAAGTAAGGTCCAGAATAGCTTTGGATTGAGAGACAATAGCTTAATACCTGGTGTATTTCTTTTTTTCTGCTGGGATAGCAAATAGGTAACCTGGAAGTCATTTTTGTTAAAAACATGCCTTGTGTGTCCCTCAGTATTTTAATTAGACATTTGTGTTTAGGCTTTTGTCTGTCTGTCTGTCTATCTATCTATCTATCTATCATCAGTCTGTCTATCTATCTATCTATCTATCTATCTATCTATCTATCTATCTATCTATCTATCATCTATGTGTGTGTAAATTGTGCCATGGTATAGATGTGGAAGTCAGATGCCAACTTTGGGATTTCAATTCTCTCCTTGAATTCACATCTCAGCAGCAAGCACCTTTTCTTGCTAAACCATTGTTGAGGCTTCTTTCTAAGTGAAAAGTCTACAGAACTTCATCTTTTGTGATTTGTATTTCTTTAAAAAAAAAAGTGTAGGAAGATGGCTTGGAATTCAGCAATCACTTTATGAATGAGATAGCTAAGATGCTCCCCCCACCCCAAGGCAAGAGCTTTTGATTAAAACCATATATTAGGTGAATGAGATCTCTTGGTTTTGAGGTTAGTGTCCTTATTGTCATAAAAGGAAATCAATCCTTTTGCTATTTAAACTCTTGTTTCAGGGCCAGCAGGGCCAGTCACCTAAGAGCATATTTAGAGATATAGAAACTCAGGCTGTCCCATCTATCACATACATAGACACAGAACTATTTATGATTTGTCTTACACTTTAGCCTCATCCCTTATCAGGTACTCCTGCATTAATTATACTCCACTCACTCTTGTCTACATGCCAGCATTTTCCTTTTTTACTTTCCTGGATCTGAACATGTCACTGGTCACTGTCATGTATGTGTGTGTGTGTGTGTGTGTGTGTGTGCATTCAGATATATGAATGCAGGCATGTGTATACGGGTATATGCATGCCATACTGTGTATGAATGAAGGTCAGAAGACACACTGGGCTTCCACCTTGTTTGAGACAGAGTCTTTTTGTTTCATTGTCCATGGAAGGCTAGCTGGCCTGTGAGCTTCTAAGATCCTCCTGCTTGTCTTCCATCTGGGATCTGTGCGTTTATGTGAGTTTGGGGTATGTGAACTCAGATACTTACGCTTGTATGAAAAGCATTTGATTCATTGAGCCATTTCCCCAGCCCTAGGCCCAGACCTTAATGCCCACTTTAAGGAGAGCAAAATATTTCTTTCTTGGAAACCTTCTCACACTGAGATTACTTGTCTATGCTTTAACACATGACACATACATTTTTCAGATTTTGTCACTTGGTGATGATCATATATTTTATTATTTATCTCCTTGGAATGAGAGGACCATTCCCCCACTTAGCAGATTGTCCTGGAGATGAGTAATGAAGAAGAATGAATTAATATGAAGACAAGAAATTCAGCCAACATGTGTCTACAAGGAGCAGTAAAGTGTAATAAGTGTAGGCTCAGTTTTTTTCAAAGACAGACAAAACTGATAAACTTGTAGCTAACCTAAGGAAACACAGAGCAGACTCATAATTAGAATTGGAAGATGGGGCATTGTAAGTAATGCCACAGACATATAAAAGGTAATAATAGACTGCTGTGAACAAGTGGATGCCAATAGATTAGATGGAGAAGAACAATTAAATTCATAGAAACACACTGCTAATACCAAATCACAAGAAACAGGAAATTGGAAGAGACTAAAAATTAGTAGAGACAGAGTCAGTAATCAAACACTTGTCCACACCACAAAGCTTAAGACTTGAGGCCTTCTCTGGTGAGCCCTACCAAATAGCTGAAGAACAATTAATAGCAAATTTCCTTAAACTCTTCCCCCCAATTTTAAGCATCTCCAAGCACACTTTTATAAAGCCAACATCACTGTGATACCAAAACTATGTTACTAGGTAACATTCCTGCCAACCTCCCCCCACCCCAACCACCACCACAAAGACCACTGCACAGACACTCTCAAAGCCGAAGAATTTCATGTGCAGACTGCCAACTGCATGATGGAAAACTAGCTCAAATCACATAGCCCTGAGCCTCACAGCTCCTGGCATTTTATGCACAAAATCTATATCCCGGTTGACACAATTCAATAGTTAGCAAGAAAGCAAGACTACAGAAGTCGAACGAGAGGTTAGTACAGTTAGGAGCTTTCTCAGTCACATTCTGGAACTATTGACTTAGTCTTTGCTCCTTTTTTGGCATGTGTTGTTGCCTATGGGCTGGGTCTCAAAGTCTGAATGGTGCTTCTATCATGGAGACAGTTGTGCTAAGGTGTGTGGGGACTTGACATAGTCAGACAAAGAAAACCCAAGGAAAGATAATTATAGGCCAATATCCCTGAAGAGCCATGATATAAACATCATCAACAATATATTATTAAATCATTAGCAAATCAAATATGAAAGCAAATGTGGAAGATCATATAACAATGTCATGTTATGCGAACACATGTGTTCAATACATGTGTCTTAGTTAGGGTTTCTGTGGCTATGATGCAATGCCGTGATTTGAAGAGGAAATTCAGCTTATGCTTCCACAATCAAAGTCTATCACTGAAGAAAGCCAGGACAGGAACTCACCCAGGGTGGCAACCTGGAGGCAGGAGCTGATACAGAGCCCATGGAGGGGTACTGATTACCAGCTTAATCCCCATGACTTGCTCAGCCTGCTTTCTTAAAGAATCAAGGACCACCAGCTCAAGGTGGCACCATCCACAATGATCTAGATCTTCCCACATCAATCACTAATTAACAAAATATTCCACAGGTTTGTAAGCTTACAGCCCAATCTTATGGAGGCGCTTTCTCAACTGGGGCTTCTTTTTCTCAGATGACTATAACTTGTGTCAAGCTGACATAAAACTATCCAACACAATGATTAAAAACTTACAGCAAATCAGGTGAAGAAGGACTGTGCACCACCATGGTAACGGCTGTGAGTGACAAGCCCAGTGCTAGTATTGTGTTTAATAGTGAAAAATTTTCTAGTGAGATCAGGGACAAGGTCAGGATGGTCCTTTGTTTGCACTCAGTCCTGGGACATCCAATCGGAGCATTCAGGGAGGAAAAAAAAAAGAGATGAAAGCCATCAAAATTAGGAAGAAGTAAAAGCATCTGTTTGCAGATGGTATGACCCTATAGCCCAAACTTCCTACATCACATAAAAATAACATGTTAGAATTAATAAACAAATTAGGTAAGTTGTAGCATGGGGACTACAAAAATCAGTAGTGTTTCTACATGTGAGACATGAGCTGAGAAAAAGAAATTACAACCAGTGCTATTTACGGAGGTATTAACAAACAATTCAGAATACATTTAAGCAAGGAAATAAAAGAGCCATACACTAAGAACTATAAAACACTGAATATGAACATTGAAGAACATACAAATAAATGGGTAGATATTTATTGCCCATAGATTTAAGGAGCTGATGCTGTTAAATGCTTATACTATCTAAAATGATCCACAGTGCAATCCTTATCAAAACTCCAATGATATTTTTCTCAGTGTTAGAAAAACATGTAAACTTTGTATGGAACACAAGACACTGGCTAATCAAAGAAATCTCAAAATAAAAGAACAAAGTTGGTGTTATCACACTACCTAACTTCATATATGTTTCAAAACTATAGAGACCGAGATAGAATTATACTGGCACAGAAACTAAAAAGCAGTAAAACAGAATCATGACCTAGAAATAAAACCTCAAATTAATGGTAATATATATATATATATTTAAAGTTATTTAACGTCTTTTTTTTTTGCTGGCATGGTTTCTGTGCACCATGTATATGTCTTGTGCCTGAGACAGCCAGAAGAGGGTGTTGGGTCCTCTGGAACTGGCTCTACAGATGGTTGTGAGCTGCCCTGTGGGTGCTGGGAATTGAATCTCTGGAAGAGCAAGCAGCCAGTGGTTTTATGCATGGAGACTTCCCTCCAGCCCCATGGTGGATCTGACTTTGAGAAAGATGTCAAAAAACTATGAAAGGGGAAGGACAGTGTGGGTAACACTGCATACCCTCATGCAGGGGAGTGAAGTTGGACTCATTGCACATTGTTATAAATTATATAACCATATTTCCCTAAGATGTCCAAATGCTATGGCTTAGAAATTGTTGCTCACAGGTGTGTGTACATCAATCAATGCTGTTGCCAATTGCTGTTTATCACTTACATTATTTTCTTCCTTTGCAATGTTTCCCACACAATCTACCCTGAAGCTTCTCTCTTTGAATATCACATCTCATATGAGGGCCTTTAAAGTATACTTTTCTTGTTTAAATGCAAAATCATAGCCTTTAATGTGTGGACCCTGAGACTAAAATAGTCTTTAGAACGAGACGATAATCCTAATTTTAGTTGTTTGATCTGTGTTGACGTGTCTACTTGAAAAGCTGGTGAGCTTATTACTTGGTTGCAACAGCATATGCAGAAAATCACCTTTGGATAATTTCTGACTTGCCATGGGGGATCTTGGTTCCATTCCCTATTTTAATGTGGTTGCCATGAGATTTCTACTTGGGGTAAAGTGAGCGTTGGAGACTAGTGCTCATCGGTCTTGGGTTATGTCACTACAAAGCTCAAGGGTAGAGGAGAAGGTAATTAATTCTCTCTAATGTTTTCTCCTATCTCTTTACCCCCTGTCTTTTTCTTTTTCATAGGGCTGATAGTCTACCTAGGAATGATGGCAGGAGCCTTCATCCTGGGGGGCCTGGCTGATAAACTGGGAAGGAAGAAGGTCCTCAGCATGTCCTTGGCTATCAACGCCTCCTTCGCCTCCCTTTCCTCCTTTGTGCAAGGATACGGAGCCTTCCTCTTCTGCAGACTCATCTCAGGCATAGGGTATGTACTGGCTCTTCTCCAGCATGAATCACTCACCTCTGACCCTCTAGCTCCATGTGAGTCCTCATGAGCCATTTGGATTGACTGTTTTTCTTTGACTTTAAGGATGCTATATTAAAGTTAAGGGCAGACAAGATGGCTTAGTGGGTAGAAGTGTTTGCTACCAAGCTTGATGGCCTAGTTCAACACCCAGAATGTACAGGGTGGAAGTGCAGAACTAACAAGCACGAGTTGTCTTCTAATACCTATGGACTATACCATGTCTTGTGTGTATATGCACACATGAAAATAAACAAATAAATAAATGCAATAAACTTTTAAAATATTTATTTTTATTTATGAGTACACCATAGCTGTCTTCAGATACACATCAGATCCCATTACAGATGGTCGTGAGCCACCATGTGGTTGCTGGGAATTAAACTCAGGACCTCTGGAAGAGCAGTCAGTGCTTTTAACTGCTGAACCATCTTTCTGGCCCTGCAATAACGTTTTAAAAGTCAAAACAATCCAAGACTGCTTTCCAAATGTAGGGAAAGGTTCACTGCGGGTCTCTTAAATTAATGAGGTTTTCAGCACAGAGCCGAAAGGTACAGTAGAAGGCTTTGGTTTCTGATATGAAGTTTTTAAGTTTATTACATGATGATCTCTTTCTGATTTTCTTTCTTCAGTATTGGGGGCTCTCTGCCAATTGTTTTTGCCTACTTTTCTGAGTTCTTATCACGGGAGAAGCGTGGTGAGCATCTTAGCTGGCTGGGCATCTTCTGGATGACTGGGGGCATCTACGCATCTGCCATGGCCTGGAGCATCATTCCACACTATGGTGAGCCTCAGACTTAAGATGGTTCCAGGTTCTCTGTTTCTATGGCAACTGCATCAAATAAATACCTGCTCTCAACCTTATTCTGATCTTGTACATAGTCTCTGTATGTGACTTTTTTTTAAAGAAAAGATTTATAGCATTGCAGACACGTTAATTTCAATTTAGAAATAATATCATCTCTTCCCCCTCCTTTTCTATTTCTCTCTCTCCACCTGCTCCTTTCTCTTCCTCTCCTTTAAGCTTTCTTTTACCTATGTCTCAGTGTGTGTTCTCATGGATGTACTTGTGAAGGACCACCAGCAAGGTTCAGTTCTCTACTCACACGGCCTTTATTTCCTCTGGCCCTCTTCACTTCAATGAATAGGGCTTTGGGAGGCCCATTTTATAGATGGCAAATGGAACAAAAATCAAGAGGTGTGGCTGGCTTACCCCAGGGTATGCACCAGAGATGGGGTAAGGATAGAAACCTGGTGTTCCTCCAGGTGTATCCCACTTCTTGTGCGCTTTACATTTTCTTCCTATTTTTACATTTCAAGTTAGAAGACAAAACAGTAGATATCGTTGTGGCGTTTTCATTCTTATGTGTCACTACACTTTGTTCTTATTGATTGCCCTCCCCTTGGCCCTCTTCCTCTTGTTGGCTTATTCCCTTCCCCTAGCTAGTGCAACCACCCCAATTTCTTACCCCCTGTAATCCATTGCTCTTTAGAGCTCCCCCACCTTCTTTAAGAGCTCTTCCTTTCTCATGATCCGCACACACATAAACACATACACGCACATACACAGATAAACACACACATATAAGCGCAGACCTACCTTTGTCTTTTCTCTAGTTGCCTTTCTTTCCTTTTCTATTGTATTTTAATTTTCGATATTGTAATGTAATTATGTCATTTCCCCCTTTCTTTTCTCTTCTAAGCTCTTTCATGTACACACTTACATGTACACACTTACAAATTCATGGCCTCTGTTTCTTAAATTGTTGTTACACATGTATTTATGCATGTATATGTGCATTTCTAAATGTATAAATACAACCTTTTCAGTCCATATAATGTTACTTGCACGTATATGTTTTCAGGGTATATATTCATACATACCCTGTAAGAGAAAACATGAATTCTTTGTCCTTCTGGTTTATTTCACTTAATGTAATGATTTATAGTTCCCCCTTCCATTTCCCTACAAATGTCACCATTTTTTCTTTATGGATACATAACTGCCATTGTGTATATGTTACACACTGTCTTTATCTATTCACCTGTTGATGGACATGTAGGTTGATTCCATTTCCTGGCTATTGTGGATATGCAGAAATAACATGGATGTGCAAATGTCTGTGGGGTGTCTACTTAGAGTCTTCTGGGTATGTATCCAGGAGTGGAAGAGCTATGCCACTTGGTAGTTCTATTGCTTTTTAAAGGAAATTCCATCCTGACTTCTATTCAAAGTTACATGCCTATTAGCAATGAATCAAGGTTCCTTTTTGCCTACATCATTGTCAACATTTGGGTTTTTTTTCTCTTGAATCTCAGTTGTAATTTATGTTTCCAGGATGGCTAGGGATGTTAAGTGCACTTTTCAGGTACTTATTGGCTAACTGTTTTTATGAGAACTGTTCATTTAGTTCATTAGTCTGTTAGTTAACTGGATAACTTGGGTCTGGAATGCTTATTGTAGTTCTGTATATTTTCTAAATATGAATCCCCTGATAAATGTGTGGCTTAAATTATATTTTTATTGTGTGGATGGGCTCATTGGCGATTGTTTTTCTTTTGTTGTGCAGAATCACTTTACTTTTGTACAACTCATCTGTTAGTTCTTGGGATTCACTATATTGTTAGAGTCCTTTTCAGAAACTCCTCGCCCATGCCTATGTCTTCAAGGATTTTACCTCTGCTTCGTCTAGCAGTTTTGTGGGTTTCATTGAAGTCAAAAATTCATTTTGAATTGATTTCTGTGCAGGTAGAGAAATGGAGATCTAGTTTCTAGCAGAAACTTGTGGAAATCAAATTTTGCTTACAAGGCTATCTTTCTACCAAAGTATGTTTTTGACATATTTGATAAAAAGTAGCTTGCTGCAGCTATGTAAGTTTGCTTCTGAGCCCTCTAGTCTGTTGTCATTTGCTTGCACGTCTGTGTCTGTGCCAGCCTCATGTGCTGTCACTGTGGATCTGTCTATAGTTTGAACTAAGGCAGATGATAGATACTTCATTGCTCTTTCTAAGGATTTCTTTGTCTCATTACACCAAAGGGTTGTTTGGTTGTTTTGTTTTATTCTCATTCTCTCTCTCTCTCTCTCTCTCTCTCTCTCTCTCTCTCTCTCTCTCTCTCCTCTCTCTATCTGGTGTGTGTGTGTGTGTGTGTGTGTGTGTGTGTGTGTGTGTGTGTGTGTTGATTTCCTACTAAGTTTAGAATCTGTTTTTAGTTCAGTATATGATATCATTGGGATTTTAATTGACACTTCACTGAATCTGTCGATTTTTGGTAATCTGGCTATTTTAATGATATGAATTCCACTAATCAATCCGTGAACATGAGAGCCTTTTTATCTAATATCTTCTTTAATTTATTTTTTCACGCGAGACCCTTTATTTGCTTTGCCAGGTTTATTGATAGGTACTTTTGAAGCTACTGTGAGTAGGATTAAAAGGTTTCCTTGTAAATTTGTTATGGTATGTGGCAGCACTGCTGATTGTTGTATGTTGGTCTTTGTTTCCTGGCACTATCCTGAAATATGCCACTTTTGTGTCTGATGTCATTCTTGACTGTCCACAGATGGAAGCAATCCATGATCCAGGACAATTTTATTATCCCCAATAGGTAAACACTGTGATCTCTGCAGAAAGACATGGCAATATTGACTTTACTATCAGTTTTGTTCATAGTTAAATAGGGAAGAAATAGCAGTTTTGAATTTTTTGATGCCATTTGAGTATTCTGGTAATGACATGGGCACCATTCAAAGGAATCTATTTATTTATTTATTTATTTATTTATTTATGTATTTATGTATTTATTTATTTAGCAAAATGTTGATCGATAAATCTACGCTCTATTGTGTTCTAAAATCCTGAAGAGTATTAATACTCCAGTAGGAGTATTAGGTGCCATTTTCTTGTTATAAATCTGACTCCACTGTATGTGCTGAGCTCAGGGAGGCTAATATGCATCTTTGTAAGAAACAGTCAGTGTTGATGATCCTGAATTAGTTGGGGGTAGTATTAAGTGCATTTCTGTGATAAACTGATAGATCCAGACACTTCAGTGGTTTTAGAAGTTTTTTGAAGAAACAATACTGTTTCTTTTGCCTGTAAAGTCAGGCTGATTGTTCTGGTTTCAGATGGCTCTGCTCCATCAGTAACTCTGGGACTCACATCACGCATTTGGACCGTCTTTAATAAATAGATACCTGTAGCATGTTATAGTTTCAATGTTAAATGTCCTCCACAGGCTCATACAGTTTGAACAGTTGGTCCCCAGCCAGTAGTGCTGTTTAGTAAGATTGTGAACCTTTTGGACACGGAGTCCAGTTGGTAGATATAGGTCCATGGGGTAGGCAAGGAGGTTATAGCCCTAGCTCTGGCTTGAGGCTTGTGCTTCCCAGCTGCCAATATGACCAGCCATCTTCTATTGCTGCTGCCATAGCTGTGGACTGCCCCTACTATGCGTTCTCTACCACATACCATGGATTCTGAACTATGTTCTCCCTTAAGTTGCTTCTGTTAGTTGTTCTGTCATAGGGATGTCAAGACTGGCTTTTCATTGTCTTTCACTTGAGAAAGAGCATGGGAAGTTCTGTGCAGGTTGTAAGATTTTATTTTGCTGGGTTTTTTGTTTGTTTGTTTGATTTCTTTTGTTTGTGTTTTTTGAGACAGGGTTTCTCTGTGTAATGCCAGTTGTCCTGGAATTCTCTTTATAGATCAAGCTGGCCTCAAACTTACAGACATCTGCCTGCCTCTGCCTCCTGAGTGCTGGGATTAATAATGGGCATGACCACACCCGACTCTATGCAGGTTTTTTAAGGGCAGGAAATGGAGCTTATGATCTCCACTCACATTCTTTCATTCACATCTCTGTGGCAGAACAGACGCTACTGCAATGAATGCTGGGAAACACAAGGCAGCTGGGAGTCTAGAAAATAGAAGAAAGGGGTTTGGGACCACCATTGTGGTCATTTTTAATATTTGAGGACCAACTATATTTTATATCAGAATCACAGAAAATTATGAATAGGTCTACGGAAGAAAAGAGGAGTTTTCTGGCATTCCATCAGTAGGCAGTTCTTTATGACTCTAGATATCAAATTGCATATACCTAAAGGGATGCCATTCTATCCTTCACCAGACACATTTAAATTTTTTTACCTACTTAGGTATGCGGTTCTGAGAAATAAAATGTCATTTATTTGTTTGCTTATTTATCTTTTTCTTTCAGGTAACAGTCAGTTGTTCTTTAAAATTTTTTCCATTAATTAATTTATTATTTACTAAATCCCAGTCCTGATCCCAGCCTCCTTTTCCTCCCAGGCCCACCTCGCACAGCTCTTCCCCTCCCCCCTTCTCCTCTGAGAAGGCAGATGCCCCCATGGGTACCAAACCATTCTGACATATCAAGTCACTGCAGGTCTAGGCACATCCTCTCCCATTGAGGCCAGTCAATGTGGCCTAGTTAGGGAAGCAGTATCCATAGGCTAGATGCTGCCATTCTTTATATAAGATAACTTCCTCTGTTAGCCAATCCAAATGTGTTAGCACTATAAAACTACTTCTGAATGTACGTGAACTTACTTAAACACATTTTTGGTGAGGACAAATCTGGATAAAAAATAATAAATATTTGTTCTGAATAAATCTGAGTAAAGTCTGAGTAGATTAGTGCTGTTGTGTAGTATGGGGATTTGGCACCCCATCTTAACAGCCATACTTCTGCTGCTTACAAAACAGGAGAAAGAAGTGAAAAGAATTCACTTAGCCTCCCTACCAGCCTGAAGTACAATGATTCGCAGGGTGCAAACCATCTTGAGAATACTTTCTAGATGATCTCAGTAATGGGGCGAGCTTTCATCCTGGAAGCAGGAGGCATTCTACCCTATCTGTTTACAGAGCACAGGTACAAAGGAAGCGTGTTTTCAACTCAGACAGCAAGCAGCGAGGCCATGGCTTCTTCTGATTCGATCAGCCTAAAAGATGTTCTCACCTCAACCAGTCATCATTTACCTGGGAGATGCAGGTCCTGGCTAGGATAGAAGTACTCCCTTCTTCACCCATGGAAGTGTGCTCAGGGGGGTGGAGTCACATGATCAATGTCACGTGTCTGCAACACAGTAGGTGAAATGGGGAAGGATGGGTAGGAATGGAGGTTGTAAGAAGAGAGAAGAGTCACAGTAATCATTACCACTTGAATTAGTTTATAAACCTTAATACACAGGGACACACACAGGACACACACATACAGGGACATACACACACACACACACCCACACTCACACTCACATCCCGCACACATGCACAAAGGCACATGCACACTCACATCTGAATGCATGGGTTCTTTTTTGACTTTGTTTTTTAGACAGGATTTCATGTTGTGGCCCTGGTTGTCCTTGAACTTGTGGTAGCCCTTCTACTTCTGTGTCTTAACTGCTGAGATTACAGTCATGTACTAAAGGACTGGTACAGAGCAAATGAGACCAAATGAGAGGCCATATGGAGAGACCCACATGGTTACTGTTTGGTCACTGCTGGCTGACAGTAGTGCTTGTGGCTGAATATTTTACCCCAAATGGATAAAAACTTCCTTTATTCTTATGCCTGTATGAAATCTGTGACTTTTATACTCTAATTTAGAAGTTGAGATTTAATCAAAGCAGGCATTAGCTTGGAGGAAAACTATTCTAGACAAGTTTTGGCAGAATCAGAGTATGACAAGAGCATTCATTTACTTTAAGCATCATTTTATCAGGACCAGATGCCTGATGCACAGAAGAAAGACATTTGACAGCATGTCTCAGAATGTTTGAGACGTGTGTCCGCTAACGAATGGGAAGTGTGACTTTAGGAAGCCGACTGAAGCTTGTATATGTATGGCTTGTATGATCCATTTAGTTGCTTTTGCAAGAATCATGGGAGTCCTGGCTCCAGAAATTTGGGCAACTAACTCACTATGAAAGAAAATGACAAAACTCGGAATCCTTCCTCCTCCTCCTCTCCTCCTCCTCCCCCTCCCCCTCCTTCTCCTCTTCTTCCTCCTCTTCCTCCCTCCTTCTCCTCTTTCCTCCTCCTCCTCCTCTCCTCCTCCTCCCCCTCCTCCCCTTCCTTCTCCTCTTCCTCCTCCTCTTCTCCTTCTTTCTCCTCTTTCTTCTTCTCCTTGTTCTCCTCGTCCTTGTCCTCTTCCTTCTGAGAACTCATTGAGACAGCCCAGAAAACACTAGAAACAAATGGGTATATGGTGGACGAACGGCTCTCATTGTAGTCAGCCCCACCAGATGTTTGTGGAATTTTGACAGAGAAAAGTAGGACAAACTGAAAGATCAGCCAGCAGAGCAATCTGTGCCTCTGAATTAATGTTGTTCCAAATATTTGAAGGCAGTTCACCATTTAATTTTATTCAATTTAAGGACCCAAAGATGTGCCTAATGAATGCAGTAATGCAAATGACTAAAATCACCAGAAAAGCCATAAAGCATGAAGAAATAATGGATATTAGATATTTTACTCGTATTATCAGAAAGGAAAAGTCTTTCTGATACAGGATATTTTCTAAATATACCAATACCATTCCCTCTTTTCGGTCATCCATTTGAGTTTGACTCCCTGGGAAGTTTTGATCAACTTGGCTTCTAATGATGCCAGAACTGTGTTTGGACCTGAGCCAAGAGTGTGGAAATAATGCTATGGTTTTCTCTTTCCTTGACTAGTATTACTCCAAGGAGGAAGGAAGGTTTTTTTTTTTGTTTTTTGTTTTGTTTTTTTTTTTAGTTAAAATTAAAATTAAAATGAATAAACCAACCCCAGTGATACAGGGTTGACCAAGCTGTTCCAAAAGAGGGTTGGCTCTAATGGAGCACTCTGCATGAGGTATGAGTGCCCTCTCAAGGGGCCACATCTCACCACCTGGACTCTGCTCTGCTGTTGATGCCCAGTTGTACGTGCAGGAGGAAATGTCTTTAGGAACAGATGCGGATCAGAAGTCAACTGTGGAAACACAAGCTGAAGCATGGTGGGGAATCAGAAATCTCAAGATGTAAGCTTCCCGCCACCTCAGCTAGCCATAGTGTTGGGTTGTTTTGTTTGTTTTGTTTTGTTTTTTTTAAAGAACTAGAATTTTTGTATCCAAGTAGTTACTATCTTCTAAAAGTTAAGAGTGAGTGCATTTATTTCTTAGGCTTTATCTATTGAGATACAGATTGGGTTGTTTTCAGATAAGCCCTGAAGGGTATTGTTGCTTCAGCCTTTGCTTTTTAAAAGTAACTCATCGATTTTATTCAGCAGCTCTTACACTAAATGCCACGTAGTTACTTCTAAGAATGTTGGTTCTTGCTTGAAGCAGGTGAGTCATTATGGGTTTCCAGGAAAGGGCAGGCACAGCAAGCTTACAGGGGACCATTACCTGCATTCTGCAGCTGTGAAGACCCAGTGAGATAATGATATGCTCAGGACCTTAACTCTGGCCTACTTACAAAAACCCAAGATCTTACCATTGTGTTGCAGCTTCTTACAAAAGGGAAGTTGGGGCCATCCATGAGAACGTTAAAAGTTAATGCTTGGGTAAACTCACACAGCCACTACAGAAATCACAACAGAAGATGCCCACTCCCCCCCAAAAAAACCAACCAAAACAAAATAAAACCAGGGCTATCCTACAATTCAGGTATACCATTCCTAGCTGCATAACCCCAAAAAATCTAAGTTAAGATACTGCAGAGCTAGGTACACATCGGTGTTTACCACAGCGTGGTTTACAGTAGCTAAGGTTCGCAACCAGCCTGTATGTCCATCAACAGATAATGAATAAATGTGGTGTAGACATAGAATGAAATCTTGTTCGACCATGAAGAACAGAACTAAGTCATTTGCAAGAAAATGGATGGAGTTGGAGGTTATAATACATAAAAATAAGCCAGGCATTGAAAGACAAATATCACATATTTTTGTTCACGTATACAGCCCAGATTTGACTATGGATGATATGAAAATAGAAGGGGGCAATTTGGGAGGACAAAGGGGACTATAGGAAGGGGGCAGATGACAGGATAATGGGATGTGAATACAGACAGAGCACATGGCATGCTGGGATGAAAATACCATGATGATCCCATCACTTCATGCTATGTATGAGTTTACACTAAAAATGCCTTAAAGTGCTTTCTCAATGTAATCTCTGAAAAAGAATTTAGTAACGCTTTGCACAACAACAGCTCATAAGGCCCAGTCATATTCCCTTTTAATGGTGGTAAAATTCATTTGAATGGAGAAGAACATTTGTTTTTGGAAACATATTCAGTCATGTCAGAATCTGTGATGCTTTCCAATGTGTGGTCATGAAGCCTCCTCACTGCAGTCACGTGGAGCTGGTACTGTTCTTTGACCTGGATAAGAGGGAACACTGACCCCTGAGCCACCATAAGGCCTACTTTGGGATGATGCCAAGAGTATCTTGGATTTCTCAGATCTCTCTAAACAAGATCCCTCTTTGGGCACTCAATCCCACTGAATGCCCATGACTGAGATAGGAACATCCCTTTTTCACCATGGCAGTCTTGGGTCTTTCTTCCATTTGACAAGAGGCCACTTACTGAGTAGGAAGAGCAGAGAAAGGCACCCAGTGAGACTGCCTTCTAGGTCATTGCTTGTGGAGGTATGGCAGTAGAACATCTTCAGTTCAGATTGTTCACTGAGAATTAAATGTCCATACAGGGCTGAGGACATAGTGCCATCAGTACAGTGTTTGTTCAGCATGCACTAGGCCCCGACTTTATCTCTAGCACCATATAAAGTGGGTATGGTGGTCCATGTCTATAATTCCAGTAGGTGAGGGACAGAGACAGGAATATAGGAAGTTCATGGTTATGGCTGGAAAGATGACACAATGATTATGAGCATTTATTGGTCTTGTAGGTGACTGGGGGTCTATTCTCAGCACCCACATGGTTGCTCACAACCATCCATAACTCCAGTTCCAGAATATCTGATACTCTCTTCTGATATCTTTATGTGCTAGGCACACACATGGTACACATACATACACACAGGCAAAACACTTATACACATAAAATAAAAATTATTTTAGATAGATATGTTTAAGATGATCCTTGACTAACAAGTTCCAGGCCAATTGGGGCTATATATAACACCCTGGGGAGCAGAGAAATAAAGGCAAAAGTAAGACAGTTATTTATTTTTTTTAAGACAAAGTCTCATCATGACTTACAGTAATTTTCCAGTTTCAGCCACCTGAATACTGATATTATAAGCATGTACTCCTATGTTTGACTGAGGATGTTGTTTTTCTAGTATACATTTATATAAGGCTCTGGAAACGTCAGGCAGGCCCAGAGCTCAGGGTTTGTTAAAATGCAAACTCCCTGCTCATATCACAGACTCGTAACTGAGAAGCTCTGGTGCAAACAGGGAATCTATGTTTTTTTTTTTTTTCGGTAGCTTCTGGCCTGTCCTTGAGCTTGAGGGCAGGTTCTTCCAGTGGGGAAGGCTATTCCACAAACTTTCTGCTTCTTTACAGGCTGGGGCTTCAGCATGGGGACCAATTATCACTTCCACAGCTGGAGAGTGTTTGTCATCGTCTGTGTTCTGCCTGCCACTGTGTCCATGGTGGCCCTGAAGTTCATGCCAGAAAGCCCCAGGTTCCTGCTGGAGGTGAGTCTTTACCAGCCACAGGAGTCCTGGCCTAGTTCACTCAGTCCCCAGCTGTGTGTTCTCTCCTAGTTGCTTGCTGCACACTTTCCTTTGTTGATGACCTTGCCTATCACTAAATCTGGCTCCAGTTCTCTTGGTGATGGTGGCAGGTCACGGATTGAAGCTCATGGTGCAATAGATAGGGACCCTCCCTCAGGCTTGGAGAGTTCTTAAGGACAGGTCCTGGCTTGCCTTATGGTACTGTCTCCTTACAGAGGTCCTGAATAGGAGATCCTTCATATTTTCATGCATGCTGGTTTTTTTTTTTTGTTTGTTTTTTTGTTTTTGGTATGGCCACAGTGGAGACTTTGTTAAATCTTGTCACTATCTCAGGGCCTCCAGGACTCTTAGCTCTGTAGGGCCTCTACCCACTAGAAACTGCTGGGGATCTTATGAGTTTCCTACTCTGTGCCTACAGAAATCAGAAAGTGGGAGCTGGCAGTGGATGATAGGACTCAGTCTCACACATCCTCAGTCCCTAGATCAACCTTGTCATTGACTATTGCAAGGATGACCCATGTGTAGTTGTCTCTTGCTCCCCACTTACTAGTCACATACATCAGACAGTTTTTAACCAGGGTCATTGCAAAATCCAGTCTTTGCCTATATCTTTCTTATGGATGCCCTAACAAAGCGTCAGAGGTTGATGTCAACAAATTTATCTCACAGCTCCATAAATGAGAAGCACAAAATGAAGGTACCAGTAGTGCAGGGCTCCCTCTAAAGCGTGCAAGCAAGGGGGTTCCTTCCCTGTTTGTCACAAGGATGCCACCAGTCATACTGGGTTGGGGACCTGCTCTACTCCAAGATGAACTGATGTTAACTAATTCCATCTGTAGCAGCTTTCTTTGTGAATAAGGCTACACTCTGCAGGGCAGCGCCAGTGAGGGCATGGTACTTAGGACCTTACTCAGAATATATTGGTTTTTGCTTCATCTCATCAGGGAGTAGCATAGCTCCTGCTCCATGATCCACTCAACTTTGTAGTTATAACAATATGTGGCATTTACCCCTTGAAGCCAAAACCTAGTTATTCTTCCAGTGTAGACTGGGAACTTACTGTAGGCTGTCATAGGCCTCACCTGTGGCTAGTGGGTCCATGTCTGATCCTTCAGACCCAGCACACTGTTTAGGGGTGGAGGGCTTTCCATTCCAGTGAAAAAAAAGGGCATAGACAGCCATGAAGTTTCATTTCTCTATTTTTGGATTTTTTTCCAGATGGGCAAACATGATGAAGCCTGGATGATTCTCAAGCAAGTCCATGACACAAACATGAGAGCTAAGGGGACCCCTGAGAAGGTGTTCACGGTGAGTGTGCTAGCCTGGACCAACGAAGCACTTTACCATTGTACTGAAAGAAAAATATTCCTTTAATATTCCTACCATTTTCATACTTGAAAGATCTCTTCATCAGAGTTATTTGCATTGTGTGTGTGTATGTACAGGTGCATGCATGCCACAGCATACATATATATATATATATATATATATATATATATATATATATATATATATTCTCTCCTGCCACCTTGTGGGATTCAAGCATCAAACTCAGATCATTAGGCTCTATGCAAGCACCTCTACCCACAGAATCATTTTACCCATCTTGTCAGCCCGAAGTAGTTTTGTTTTCTATTATCATTTTCTAATACCATTACCTAAGGAAGGTTGAGAAGGTGCTTCAGTCAGTAGAGTGCTTGCTGCACAAACAAGAAGACCTCAGGTTGATCCCCAGAGTCCACAGTAAGAAAACACAGACACACAGACACACAGACACACACACACACACACACACACACTAAACCACGAAGAAAGGATGAAAGAACACATTGAGGCTGGAGAGATAACTCAGTGGTTAAGAGTATTTGCAGCTCTTGCAGAGGACCAGCGTTTAGTTTCCAGCCCCTACACGATACCTTACTGTAACTTCAGTACAGGGGTTTTGATCCTTTTTCTGGTCTCTATATGAGCACCAGGCATTTTTGTGATGTACAGACTCACCTGCAGGCAACATCCATCCCTACCCCCTCCCAAAAAAGTAAAAATGAGTGAATTTAGAAAAAGAAAAGGCTAGCTATACTCCTGTGAACGTACATCCACATGAAGATTTGTGTATTGTATTTGGCTGCATGCACTAGCATTTTGGATACTGCCACATACATCCACAGCCATTGTTTCTCTCCATTAGCCTCTCATACTGTCATCTTAATGAATGATACAGTCATTTTAATGAATGTCAGTGCCCGGAACATTAACACCATTTTCAACATGTCCCTAATGTCAGAGGCTCATTTATACTGTTCTATTGCCTGTTTCTATAAATATTGTGATGAGCCTTCTCATCCATGCAGTGCCTGTCTCTTCAAGTTCTGTAGAAAAAAGATTTCTGGCTCAAATGGCATTGGTTATTTTTATTATTTAACTTTTTGAGATTGTAATAAAATTACAACATTTCTCCCCTTCCTTTTCCTCCCTCAAAACCCTCTCAAATTTCTACTCGCTCTCTTTCAAATTTATGGCCTCTTTTTAACTTAAATTATCACACACACACACACACACACACACACACACACACTTCTAAATATTTAAATAGAGCCTTGACATGAATTTCCAAGTTGCATTTCATTAGAGTTATGTTACCTTCCCAAACCACAAGTAGCCAGCTACCCACTTCTCTCCATCCTATCAGCACTGGCTATTAGCCTGGGTTTAAGAAGCAGGAAGTGGTGATTTCCATGAAGATGTAATGCTCCTGATTGTCATACTTTGTAGCCAGACACCATCAAGGCTTGGCCCAGGCAGCTCTTCATGCCTGTACTTATAACACCCTTTCAGACGGGTGTTTCCTGAGAAGCTGTTCTGGACAAGTACCCACCTAACTCTCAGTCACCCACTTTTTCCTTCTTAAAGGGCTGGATTCTTAGGTGGAATCACGTGGTGGCGCTTGAGTTTTCTCATGGGGAAAGGCAGACAATGTTTGAGTGAAGACATTATTGCAGAGATTAAACAAAGAACCCGAAACAATGTCTGCCTTGGAGTATGACAAAATATTAACAACTGTGAAAAATGTTATGACATACATTTTTCATAAATTAGCTCATAACTATCTTTATAGAAAATTGCTTAATGGCATATTTGCCCAGTTTGAATGTTCCTAACATAGACATTTTATTTTACTTTTAATTTTAAATTGTTTTCCACAAATTTATAAATACGTCTACCGTATATATCAGCGACACCCGCATCCTTGCCACCCACCATTACTTCTGTTTGTTCTCCGTGATACCTTTACTTGTACGTTTATGGGACCAGTACATCTATTGCTAAAGTATATTACGGAGAGCAAACAAAAGAAATACTCCAAAAGAGGATATTAAGGATCAATGGCTCTCCCAGACTTCTAGCCTACTCTCTCTCTCTCTGTCTCTCTCTTTGTCTGTCTCTCTGTCTGTCTCTCTGTCTGTCTCTGTCTCTCTCCTCTCTCTCTCTCTCTCTCTCTCTCTCTCTCTCTCTCTCTCTCTCTCTCTCTCTCTCTCTGTAATAGACTGTGATGCACAGCAGGGCTACAGTTGAAGAAGCCAGGCATTAGGGCAGACTCCCTGCCCACTGCCATCTTTCCTGCAGCCCTCCTTCTTTGTTCCACAGCCTGGGCAAGTCTGAGCACCAGATTCTTCCTGGGAGGTGCGTTCCTAGCCATCTCTCTTCCTCCAGTCTCTGAATCCACCTAAGCTGCAATGACTTTTGAACCATATCAATCTGGCATAGAACACACATCCAGATTCCCACCCACCACCTGCAGCAAGCATTTGCGAATTTGGTGGTGTTACTGAAAAGTTGACAATAATGGAAATTATATCAGAACACATAGCTTTTCCCTTCCTTCCTTCCTTCCTTCCTTCCTTCCTTCCTTCCTTCCTTCCTTCCTTCCTTCCTTCCTGACCTTTCCCTCTTTTTAAACCTTTTTGTGCACTGATGTCCTCCTCCACACCATGCCCCAAATGCTACAAAACAGAGAAAACGTCCTTGGCTCCTGTATAGTAGGGTATTGGTCTTTGAAGTCTGAATGTGTCTCTAGGATTCCTGCATAACCCATATATTTTATTAAATGGATTTCTCACAACTGTAGAGTATTCTAAGAGGCATAATGATAGAAAGTTCCTTTCTGCTCCATTTTGCATGTGTGTGTGTGCGCTCATGTGTGTGTGTGTGTGTGTTTGTGAGTATGCATGTGCACGCGTGTGTGTGTGAGCATCTGAGTGTATTCTTCATCTCTTGAGACTATATTCACTGGATTCTCAGATTATTCTTGGTCATTTTTCACACATAAGTCTCTCCCAGGGCAACTGGACTGTGACTTCTGTAAGGAATACTTCTGGAAACCTGGCTTGGCTTGTGAGACTGGCTGTCCTTTGCAGAAAAGCGATACCACATTCTCACTTGGCCAAGTGCAAAGAGATAAGATCAGGCACATTACAGTCAGGTGTTTATCTGAACAGAACGTGGTTTGCTAGTCTACAGCTCTGACCCAGAGGTGGCTGGGACCTCACGGTGCAAGCTCAGGGGAGGGCTTCCCCAGGGTGAGGTTTGGGCAGTCAGCTAGTTCATATTCTTCTAGGAAGTTTGAGGTGATAAAACAAACAAGTACCCCAACTTTTAAAGGCAAAAGCTAAGCTGTTTACTTCAGGACCAGAGTTCTTCATGTCAGGGATCGGGGTACAATTGGGAAGGAAGACCGTGGAGATCAGAGTGAAAAGGCCTCTCGAATTCTGAGATTTTCTTACCCTAACCTGTATGCCACTTCTTAGACCTTGGGTTCTCGAATCTGCTTTTAGTGATTTTTCCTCCTCTTCTTCCTCCCCCCTCCTCCTCCCCCTCCTTCCCCTCCTTCTCCTCCTCCTCCTCCCCCTCCTCCTCTCCTTCCTCCTCCTCTTTTCCCTCTCCCCCCTCCTCCTCCCCTCCCCCTCCCTCTCCTCCTTCCCTCCCCCTTCTCCTCCTCCTTCTCCTCCTCCTCCTCCTCCTCCTCCTCCTCCTCCTCCTCCTTCTTTTTTAACCTAATAGGAAACTTAAAGGTTATAGGTTCAGTGTTCCAAACTGACTTGCTGATCATGAGTTATACTGATGTGAAAAACTGGATAGTTCAGGAAAAAGGGAAAAGGGGAGCAGGGAAGGGAGCAGAGGAAGAAGAAGGAAGAATGAAAGAAAGGGAAGGAAGAAGAGAATGAGGAGAAAGGAGGTGAAAGAGGAAGGGACAGAGGGAGAAAGTGCAGGAGAGGGGAAAGTGAAAGGAAGAGAGAGAACGGGGGAAATGAACAAGAAGGTAGAAGGAAAGAGAAGGGGGAGGAAGTAAAAATACCAGGAAGGAGGAACTGAAAGCTGACTGACCTCAGGCAGCTGGGCATATTCATAACTCACTTGGGCAGAGCCACCAGCTAGTCTTGTGTGTCTGTCCCCTTCACTTCAGTAAAGCACTCATAACTGTGCTCAGCCACCCACAACAGAAGAGTGGGTAAGCCCTGAAGCTGTTCAGTCCAGTGGTTCAGTCCAGTGTTCACCTCTCGCTTGACCCAGGAGCTTCAGGCCATTTGCAGCTCTGAGATGATCCTCCCACGCACCTGGACAGGCACAGCTAGAAGCTTTCCCTGCGGAGAAACCTTGGAGGGTCTGGGACTTGGAGCATTCTACTAAGAACTTCAGCAGGATAAACAGGAACACAGGCCAAATGCTCTTCTCCATGGCACCAAAGAAAGTGTTCTAATTAATTGAATATTTGAGCAGTTGTGCTGGAAATCAACACACCCACTCTCCAAAGCCCAGGAACAGAGTGTTATTTCCTTCAAGGAGCAAAGCAAAGAAAATGTACACCACAGCGGCTACTTTGGTGATTTGAAGCATGCTTTATAAAGGGCTTTCAAACCTGCTGCCATCTTCCCCCCCTGGCCTCCTCTGGCAGCAGCTGCTGCTCTGATGTCCAATGGGGTTAGACGGTTGGAAGCTCTGATCCACCCGCTTCTGATGAGTCTTTCTGCAGTGCTTTCTATGACTATTGCCTACACCCCAGACTAACCCCAGAGGAAAGAACATTTTCACAGACTGTGCAGCTGCATTTGGGAGGCTTGGAGTACAGGTGTGACTGTCGGGCTGTTCAGCGGGCACCTGGCCATCCTGAAGATTATCTAGCCCCATCCTTGTGTGTTTCTCCTTTGCGTCCTCACAATAAACATTCCTGGTTTATTGGATGAAGAAAGAAATGGAGAACGTGGATCTATTTTATCTCAGTTCAAACACTTTGTTAGATGACCAATAGAAACTGCTTCTGACTTTTATTGAGCATGCTCTTCTGGTCCTATGAATTTGAGGACAGTGTTTGCATTGTGGACCTGGCTAACTCTACTAGAGGAATTTGCATGGTATCCTTAGCACTGACTAGGTCTACAATTCAATGATTAGTTTAAAAACTACACTGACATGAAAGCTACTATTATAATGAGTGAGGGTTGTTTATGTTAGACTTTCCAGGTTTTTTTTTATCGTTTGAGGGGAACACAGACCTATTTCACTTATCCTGACTTCAGAACTCTCATTTATAGCAAGAAAGTTGGGATGTCCAGGAAGCCATGATTTCTTGCATTCTGTTGTGGTTTAAAAACATAAGTAGCAGTGTCCCTCGTGTTGAGATAGTCACTTCCATCATTGCTTTCCAGGTTTCGCACATCAAAACTCCCAAGCAAATGGATGAATTCATTGAGATCCAGAGTTCAACAGGAACGTGGTATCAGCGTTGGCTGGTCAGGTTCATGACCATTTTCAAACAGGTATGATCTGTGAGCACATTTTTGGAGGAGAGGCTGGCTCCACAGGAGTCTATTATTTTAGTGGGTGAAGAATAAGGCCTCGCAAAGCATCCTGAAACTAAGGCAGCATGACATGATGGAGAGGAGGCAAACCCATGGAAGGTATCTGCTCTAGGTAGGGCCCCCTCTAAACTTGCCCTGTATCTAGAGATGTGAGTATTTAAATCGCAATGTCTTCTGCTGCTGTTCTTTCTCAATGCCAGGGTTTTATAGTCTAAGTAAGTACCCTTCTGTCCACATCCTTCTCTCCAGCGAATTCTCTTTAAATAATTAAATAGCAAGGAAGATATGATAAAAATAAACGACTCTGGGGGTTTTAAGTCACTAAGGGTGATTCTATTTCTGCAGGAGTCTTTCAAGCCTTCTGTTGAGCACTGAGACAGCCAGCTAGCTTTTCCTGACACTTGATGGGTTCATGCTTTATGGTCGATAAATATTTTAAACATCACCCTGCTTGCAGGGTAGTGGGTGTAGACCTGACTACTTCAGGTCACTGAATGCCTTGGAATTCCCATTTGGTGTGCTTTTGGTCACATTTACCAAAATACTATGTTTCTAGGGGAAATACTACAGGGGTGTTGATGTTCAAAGCTGGCCAGAAAAAAGGGATGAACACTTATTTATAAACAGGGTTCTTTCCTCTATAGGAGGGTGGGCTGCCTCTTTCTTTTGAGATGTCCTAGGCAATTTATTTTAAAAAATCTAAGAAATGTGCTCTCTCTGTCACCTGTCCTTCCCTTTAACTGTTTTTTTTTCTTCTGACTTGCATCTTAGGTCTGGGATAACGCCTTGTACTGTGTGATGGGACCCTACAGAATGAACACCCTGATTCTGGCTGTGGTCTGGTTCACCATGGCCTTAAGGTAAGTACTATCTCACACTGGTCCCTTAGCAGCCTGGTTTATAGATTGAAGGTTATAATTTGGTCTGGTACACAATTTGTCTCAGAATGGATGCTTTGGGCCACAAGTAACAAGCAACACATCTAGTCATTTCTATGAACAGAAACCTCTTCTCCCAACAAGAAACCTTAGAGTAGTCAGAAGGAGTTCTAGCCCCAGGCTAAGTCTTACTGCTATGTTTGCAGAATGCCTGTAGGCTTCCTGTGGACAAAACATCTGTCTTCTCCTTCATCTGTACTGAGGCATAGCAGACAAATAGAAAATGGGTATGCTTACAGTGTACAACTTAGTTTTTCAGTATATATAAGCTTTGTGGATAATCACAATGGTGAAAGTCATCCCCCCTCCTCTTCCTCCTCTTCCTCCTCTTCCTCCTCTTTCTTTCTTTCTCTTTCTTTCTTTCTTTCTTTCTTTCTTTCTTTCTTTCTTTCTTTCT